CACACGTTAACGAGGTCACGCATCATCCGCCATCCGTCATACGTCAAGTCACAGGTCACTGGTCATATGTCACACATCGCGTGTCACGCGTCACACGTGATACGTCCTACGTCACATGTCACACGTCACGTGTCACGCGTCACACGTTATACGTCGTATGTCACACGTCATACGTCACACGTCACGTGTCACGCGTCCCCCGTCATACGTCAAACGTCACAAGTCACACGTCACACGTTACACGTCACACGTCACACGTCACACGTCACAAGTCACACGTCACAAGTCACACGTCACAAGTCACACGTCACAAGTCACACGTCACATGTCACACATCATACGTCACGCACCACGCGTCGCGCGCCACGCGCCGTCACCGATTTATTTACGCGGGCGTTATAAACGCGTCGCTTCATAGCAGTCATGGGTTTAGTCGCTGTGTTGACGACCGTGTGGAGGTTAATCCCGTTTACACTGGGTAGCATCGCGCAGGAGAATGCCGTAGAGCTTGCGAGTGTCGACGAATAGCAGCAGTCCATGTAAAGTTTAGTGTCCAGTTTAAGCGCTTAACGTTTGTTTTTTATATAACGAAAGAGTCAAACGTGAGTGAATATAAGTTAATTTATATCTTTGGTTGTTAGAAGGGGAGTCTATATCTCAGGGCAGACGCGTCATACAATATATATATATATATATATATATATATATAAATATACATGTGTGTGTTTATATGTGAACATGCATAAAGAAGGAGTACGTACCCTAATACAATAACAATGAAATCTAACCAGTTCCATGCCTCACGTAGGTAGGTATGCCTATTCACTATGAAGCCTCGAGCTATCACCTTTATCACCATCTCAAACGTATAGATACCTAGAAACACGTACCTGCAAACGAGAAAAAAATGAATGATGAAGAAAATCAATGGCACCCGAAACCAGACAGAATATCGGCACCGGTTCCACCTGCGTCCGTTTAAAGAAAATGTTCACATACTCGCGAGTCATTGAGTTATCAAACAAAAAACATCCGGAATGAATAAAAGCAAATTAGTTTGCATTCACTTCTGAAAACATCGAGAGTAGGTTAACATGTCGAAACGCACAACAAAATGTACGTTAACATTCTAATGCACAACTGACAGCATCCCCTCTCTTACTCCCCTCTCCTCCATCCTCCCACCCGCTTGCCCCCTTACTAACGGACATCGCGCGGCTTGCGCATACTCTCCGCTACGCCGTATAACATCTTCTTCTAACGGCGGGGCCTAATATCTGGCGCGCGAATCTGTAATAACTAACGAAATAACCAGGTCGCTAACGACGCTGGCAGCGCGTCGTTAGCTCGTTGTTATTGCGCGCGGGAAGGACCCCACGGGATGCGGCCACCGCCTGCCACTCACGTCTGCCGCAAACGTTTCCCCGACGCGCGCGCGCGGACGCGGGCCCGCCCGGAATAATGCGTGACTCGTCGGACGAGCACTTAGCTTTATTAGTAGAGTACGCTACTGTGTGTGTGTGCGGGCGCATTTAGGCCGGCGATTGGTAACGAAATACGGGTGCCGACCGGCCTAGGGTCAGTTTAACCCCCGCCGCCCACGAGTTCTTAGTTATTTCTACTCGCAGAGATTTTTTTGGAGGGGGCGACGGTAGCCGATGCATGAAACACCCGCACGCACGCACGCACACATACACGAACGCAGACATGTACGCACGCCCGCCGCACGCACGCAAGCATCCACGCATACACACATTTCACGCAGCCACGATGATATGCATGAGCAATGTTATACATATATATATATATATATTATATATATATATCTATATATATATATATCATATATATTCACCAGTATAACACACCCGCATGATATGCCCGAACGCGAATGTGGCGTGGTGTCTAGGATTCCCGAGTCCCGGAGCATATAGGCAAAGAATCCATCCCAGTCTACGCTAGGGGGGGCCATAACCCAAGACCGTTACAGGAAAAAAACCAGATGCCAAGTTCAATGTCTTATCGGGCGTCTATCTCTCAGCACCTGCGGCGCAGGCGTGGCCCTCCATGTTTAAGCTGACGACGCGCCATGACAAATGTTGATTAACTTGCGCGCAGTATGTAAATCCCCTTGCCACCATAATACCAGTCCGTTAGTCGCTGCTTTCGCACTCTATTCTCTCATTTTCATTTCAGCCTTCGTATCTGTGCCTCGCTTTTCCTCGTTCGTCTCTCTCTCTCTCGATTTTTCATTCTCTCATCTCATCCGACCCATCTCTTCTTTCATATTTCTCTTTCCTTTAGCAGTACGCCACGCACGCGCGCACGACGAGTCGCGCGCAGGGCGACGACACGAGATATACTTATATTATATATATATTTATATTATATATATATATAATATTATACTATATTATATATATATATATATTCAGTCCTTTCTCTGTTCCCTTTCTTCCTCTTCACTCCGATTCGCATCGCTTCTCTCTTCCTCTTACTTCTTCTCTTGTTATTTCATTTTTATTTTATGATGTTTTTTCTTCTTTTCATTGTTCATCCTTTCTTCTCGCTGCCCGCGTGCGCGCGTCTCGACCCTCTGTATTTTCTCTTATCGTTTTCTTCTCCTTTATCTTTTTCTCTTCCAATCCCTCTCTCTTATTCTTCTTTTCTTCTCGCTCGCTCTTACGACGCACGCATGGCACTGGGGGCGGCCATGCGTGTCGCGGGAGAGCCGTAGCGGCGAGCAAATTATATCATATTACATTACATCTGTGCGGCAGAGAGAAGAGTGCGGCTGCTTGACGGCTCGCCGCATAACTCGGTGCTGGGTAGCGTTGCGCGCAGTGTACGCGGCACGACGCACGCGCCGCACGCAGACCCACCGCAGGCACGCACGCAGGCGGAGCGCGCGCGCAGACGCGGAACCGAGACGGCTGTTATTTTTATCGCCCAAAACGTACGCAAGGTTGCACCCCCCTTCGCCCTCCATACCGCACAGCACCTACGGTCGCAGTAACAGCATTCGCCGTGTATTTTCGTCGACAGCAGAAACACGGTGTTTGTAACGTTGGTTCCGACGCAGCCCCGCTCCGCGGTGCCAATTGAGCTTATTGTAGTCGCGCGCATTCGTGCGCCGCTGCTTTCTCCCGGCAACAGACGTGGATACAATCGCAGTATTATGGGCCGGAATATATGACAGACGGTGTGTGTGTGTGTGTGTGTGGTGTGTGTGTGCTGTTGTGTGTGTGTGTGTGTGTGTGTGTGTGTGTGAGTGGTGTGTGTGTGTGTGTCGTTGTGTGTGTGTGTGTGTGATGTGCGTGTGCGTGTGCGTGTGCGTGTGCGGTGTGCGCCGTGTTGTGTGTGTGTGTGTGTGGTGAGTGTGTGTGTGTGCGGTGTGTGTGTGTGTGTGTGTTGTGTGTGTGTGTGTTGGTGTTTGTGCGACTGGTGACCGGCCCACGTCAATCGTTTTTCATTAAGTTCGGGCTCTGCGCCCCGACCAGTCAACCCACACAGCACACCACGCCTCCACTATATGTGCAAAGCGAAGGATTTACCATGTATAGGCTAGCTATGTGGGTGGTGGATGCGGATGGGAGAGAGGAAGAGGAGGGGGAGGGAGGGAGCGCAAGAGGGGGAGGGGGGAGGCGGCGAGGGGCAGAGGAGGAGAGAAGAGGGTGAGGAGGGTAGAAGAGGGCAGAGGAGGAGGAGGGAGAGGAGGGAGCAGGAAGGGAGAGGAGGGGCAAGAGGGGAAAGGCAGAGCAGAGGGAAGAGAGGAGAGGGAAGGAAGAGGAGAGGAGAGAAGGGGCGAGAGGGGACAGGAGGGAGAGGAGGGGAGAGATGGGACGAGGAGGGAAGATGAGGGGAGAGGAAGAGAGAGGGCAGGGGAGGGAGGAATAGAAGGAGGGAGCAGGAGGGGAGAGGGGTAAGAGGGGTAAAGGAGGAGAGGAGGGGAGAGGAAGGGTAGCAGGAGACAGCCGGAAAGGAGAGGTAGGGCAGAGGAGGGTAGATGAGGCGTAGAGAGGGTAGAGGAGGGAAGAGGGCCAAGAAAAAGGGGAGAGGGGAGAGCGAGGGAAAAGCATGGAGAGAGGGTCAGAGGAGGGAGACAGAGGGAGACGAAAGGGTAGAGAGGGAGGGAGGCGAGAGCAGGGGAGAGACAGAGAGAGGCCAAGGAGCGGGAGAGGCAGGGTAGAGAAAGGATTAGAGGAGGGTGACAGGAGGTGAGAGCAAGGGTAGATGAGGGGGGAGAGAGACAGAAGACGAGGGAAGGGGGAGAGGAGAGGAGAGCAAGGGTAGCAGTACTCTCCCGGAGGAGAGAGGGGAGAGGGGAGGGGAGGAGCGGAGGGGAGAGGATGAGGGAGAGGAAGGGACGAGGAGGGGGAGAGAGGGAGAGGAGGAGACGGGAGGGAGGATGGTAGTGAGGGGAGGAGAGGGAGAGAGAGGAAGAGGGAAGAGGAGAGAGAGAGCAGGGTAGAGGAGGAAGAGCCGAGGGGTAGGGGGGGGAGGGAGGGGAGAGGAGCGGGAAGGAGGGAGACGGGGGAGAGGGAGGGGAAGGAGGGGAGAGGAAGTGGAAGGCGGGTAGAGGAGGTAGAAAAGGAGAGGAGGAGCAGAGGGGCCAGACCGGGGAAGCTGGCGGGGAGAGGAGGGGAGAGGCGAAGAGGGAGAGAGGGGAGAGTAGGAGAGGAGGAGGGGAGAGAGGGGGAGGCAGGGACTGCGGGGAGGATGGAGATAGGAGGAGGGGAGGGGGAAAGGAGGGGAGAGGAGGCGAGAGGAGGGGGAGGGGAAAGGAGGTTAAGAGGAGGGGCAGAAGAGATGCGACGCGTGTCGTGATGGGGAATCTAATAGATGGGATCATCACGGTCACGTGCATGCGACAGCTGTGTTCGTTGTCTGCTGGAGTCATCAGCCTTGCACTCGCACTGCCGGCGACGTGAGTTGTTAGAAGCTGTGCCTTGTGTAGGTGATAACCGGCTAGGTTTTGACTAATATGAGTCGTTAAGTGGAGTAATAATTGCAGAATACAAAGCATTGTGTTGTAGTAGGTAAATGTTGTAGTTATAGCATGTTGTTGACTAGTCGTTAGTTTGTAAATATATGGTGTAGTATCTTTGTGTACAAAATTGTGTTGTAGTAATTTGTATGTTGTTGACTAGTAGTAGTTTTTAGAATATGTGGCAATAGTATATATGTTGTATCAATTCATGGGCGGTACATCCCGGGGGAGATGGGGGGGAGTGCATCCCGCCTGCTCTTGAAGGAGGGGGATGGCTGTCAAATATCCCCCTGAGATTTACCCACACACAAACTGCCTTCGCTCCGTGCCCCCTTGAAAGTTCAGTCTACTTATGCTAATTTGGAGACTGGGCAGACGCTAAATCATTTCAATTACCTGAGGGGCGTGTAGCAGGGGGAGGGGTCCAGGGGGTCCGGACCCCCCCTGCTCGCGCAGAAAACGCATCTGAGGGGGTCTAATTTCAAAAAATTTCTGGGGGAGGGCCCCCAGACCCCCCCCCCCTTCGCGTGATCACCCCCCCACTCCTCGGTACGGATTTACGCCCCTGTATCAATTATAGTGTGCAGTGGACTAGCACGATATGTCGTTGACTTGTACTATATGTATAAGAACTATACTGATGTGTATGTAGTTGGTCTGTATGATATGTGTGCAGTAGACCGGTGTGCACGTAGTTGTAAGATACACTAACAGTGGCTCCACACAGCAGCGTGTGGCTAGCAGGGGATACGATGCTGCGTCGGTAACTCGGTAATTACGTAGATCAGCGCCCACTACCGGTGACCGAGAAAAGAAACAGGCAGTTTTACTGCTTTATAGTTCACAACTTTTTGCCGCTATATTCGATGTCGTGGCGAATTATTGTATTTTGAATTGCAT